GGCCATTATATTAGTGACATGAACAAAAATACTGGTCATGTTATGTATGTAATGAAAAATAAAATGACCATTATACTGCCCATCAAAAAAAAAATGTCATCAACTCCATCATTTAAAAAGCAATTGTAATTATTCTGACCAGTATAAAAAACATGGGTCATTAAAACCACCATTTTAAAAACACTGGTAAATATTTTGGCCACTTAAAAAAATCTGGTCAATATTCTGGCCATTAAGATAATAGTGGCCATTATAATGGCCAGAAGTGACTTTTTAAAGGGGTCTGAGGGGTGTAAAAAACAGAGTTAAAGTGAAATGAAAAATTATTATAACCTCCTCACTAACCTAAAAGCACAAATAAATATTCAAAAGTTTTGAAAATTAAAACTTTCCGAAACGCGACGGAATTTCCGAAAGTAATCCGGACGCTGTTATATACTCCAATGTTTTTTTGACTTCATTAAAAAATAAATCGTTTTTGTAGGATGGAAACTTTTTGAGGTCAAACCCCCCACCCCCACCCCCAAACTAAAGCAAATAAGTTTTTTATCCGACATCGATCTTTTGATGTCGTCCCAAACATCCACCATGGAGTTACAATATTGAAGTTTGTTTGAATACATTGCTTTTGATTTCACTATCATTGATATGTAATTTTAGAATTTTATTTTGATGTATTTTTTAGATACTATTGTGGATCATTTATTTTATTTTGGTCTGGCTTTCGTATTGTAAATCATGACGGATGGAGAGTTTCTATTTAAAAGTCAACATATGACTTGGTGCAAGGGATTATGGGATATGGTAGGACAAATGGTGAGGGCTGATTAGAACTTACTTTGCGCTAGACAGCATAAACTTTTCGGCTTTCACATGAGAGATTTTCCTAAAAATAGAAATAAATTTCTGTAATATACAGATAATTAAGACATTTTAAAGATGTTCAGTTCTCTGTGCGGCCTCTCATGTGCTAGAGAATTAAGTAATATTAAAATATATTGATAAAAAAAAAAGAGGATTACATACAAATGGTTTCAATGATATTACATAATTATAGTGTCTAGACTAATTTCTGAAATTTGTAATTCGTTTTATGTCAGTATATAAACTATTTGCAATTTTATGTTAATAATAATATATAATAACAATTAACTTCATATTTAGGAAAACAAAATTGAAGTAGGGTAAAAAGAAAAAAAAAATTGTAATTCATTTTTCCCCACAAAAATGTTGAATTTTTTTCATTTATCCGCCAATTTTGTTTTTTCTCTCTTTAACCCCCCCCCCCCCATTGCTTTATTTTATATATTTAAAGAAGTATTTAAACACCCTAGAAGAACATAGAAACATTTGCTACACAATGTGAGTCTATTTTGTGAAAGGTGACATCTAAGAGTTGACTTCTGTGATCAAATAAATACAAGACTTCCGGTGGCAGTGATTGGGTTTCTTGACAGCAATTCAGGCTGTATAAAAAATTATGTCTTTCTGTGAAAATCGATAAATACAAAAATCCAGTCTAAAGATCATACAAAAACGTCACTTTAATCAGAGTGGTTCCTTCACCATGAAGGTAATAGGAATTTGAAAGTACATTGCAAGATTGTTATGAGTGTCATAAATAACCTAATAAAATATTGAACAAATGAATCCCCAATCATACTCATAATATTATAAAATATAAATTTACTGACAACAACTGCAGTGTATTCTATCAATATTTAATTTATCACAGCATTGTAGGAGCAAGCAAAAAATGCTCACATCAATAACATTAGCTCTCAAAATTTTTTTCCATTTACATATCATTATTTGTTGGAGATGATGACTTGTTCAGTTACCCGTTAATTAAGTTACTAAATGTAGATATTCAACAACAAATGTATGTTGCATGTAACTCAAAGCTCCTACGACTACTAACTGTTAATTGAACATTGATTTATAATTTGGGAGTGGTATCCGGGAATGGGCTGGGTTTCTTAAATATGGTCAAGGTTATTTTTGTAACTCCATGTCCGTAAGTTGATTTCTGTCACTCAAATTGTTACAGTGGGTTGTAATGTGAGTGTAGAATTGAAAATCTCAATGGATTCTAGGAGAAAAAGTGGGAAACATGAAGATCCAAAGTGTAACAAGATTTGTTTCTCATCCAAAAAACAACAACACACAATAAGGTAGAATTATATCATCTGAATGTTATTTCTTGCCAGCTGGATGAATTGATAGAGGAAACTGAAAAAATTGCATAATTGAGTGGACGAATTATTATTAATGGTTGCCATAGTTATGCCATATGTAGTTCTCTTGTGTAATAAACAGAATTCACATTGATTAAATTTTATATGAGATATAATTATAATTTGATCATTAAACTCCAAGCTAGGGTGATTTAAAGGGTAATTTTTCAACCGGAAAACTTTACCACCTGTTCACATTGCATTCACATGGTTGCATTGTTTATACAGTATCTGTATCTGATTTTATAAAAACATAGTAATTATTTTCAGATGATGTAGCAGAAAATCAATTACTGTACTACCCATACGACCTAATTTAGTCATATCATAATACATATATCAGTCTGTAATCATAGATATCAGGGAAAAGAGTGCCAATTTGTTTTTTAAGACAGTAAGTCACAAATTTTAGTCTTGATAAAGCTTTCTAATTGAAAATTCACCAACAAATTGTTACTAGTTTATACTAGTTTACTAATCCAGTTTATTACTACTGTACAGTAATAATAACTATAACAAAGTCTCATTCCATTCATGCAATTTGAAAACCTATTATTTCAGTTAATTCAAAATGATCGAAAAAGTATCAGTCAAATAGTTTTTTATATCTCCAAATAGAGGTGAAAATTTCTAATTTGTGAAAAATTGTGATTGTAAAATGAGTTAGTGACTAATACGGAGATCTGTTTTGACAATCTAGGTCTGTGTGCATTTTAAGAGATCTCCAATTTTATGTTCAAATTTATGGTTGTCTTACTGTGTCAAATTATTATCATATTTTGCTCTATTAAAAGGAAACCTCTGCAGTACGCTCTCTAATAGAACTGATTTTGTAGGGATCCAGAGTCAAAATACAATCCCCTAAAATCAAGTTGAGTCAACCAGCTTGTCAAATGCTAAAGAGAGGAGTCTTCTTTAAAAAAAGGAGGCGAGGAGGTGACTTGATCAAACTAAAATGTAAAGGCCCTAATTTTTTTTTATCAAATTACAAATTCTGTAACTATAATAGTTTTTTTAAGATCAATGTAAAATTTTCTGATGCGACAACAATGCGACAGTCAATTTGCATAACTACTTGTTTCATAGCAAATCTGTGTATATCAGTGGTGCTTCATATCGTTTTATAGGGCACACTGCATCACTGATAGAAGTGCATGTGTGCCAAAACTAACTTATTTTAGTCTTTGTTTTATGCTCACCAAACCTGTACAGAAACATTTATGCTAACTTTTGTTAAGAAACTGAACCACATAGCGCTTCTCAGAGACAAAATAAATTACACTGCCAAAAAATTAAATAATTTCACTGGAAACCGTAAATTGATTTGCCATAATAAAGATTGTGTAATCAACTATTTTACTAGACTTAATATTTTAGTAAAAAAAGTGGAAATAAATTCCAAACAAAACACAGGGAAATTTACAGTAGTGTACTCAGTGTACAAAGAGACGTAAGAATGTCATCAGATTGGAAGCCAAAGCAAGATACTACTCTCAAGCTAGAATTTAACAGTTATAAAGAAGTTACTTGAACACAAAGATACAATAAGGAAGTACCAGTGTCTTGAGGAATTGATGTCAGATCTGGTTAACAACATACAGGCCCTGAATTTCAAGAAATCGTCTAAAATTTCAAGTTTTTGTCTTAAAACTGGCTGCTGAAGTTTAGTCTCTGCAAGAATAGAATTCTGGGTAATATAATTTGATTTTGCTGCAAACCAACGAGTGAATTCTGGGTAATGTAGTGATCTATTGCAAACTAGCTAGTGATTTCTGGTTAATGTAGTAATCTATTGCAAAACAGCAAGTGAATTCTGGGTAATGTAGTGATCTATTGCAAACCAGCAAGTGAATTCTGGGTAATGTAGTGATCTGCTACAAAACAGCGAGTGAACTCTGGGTAATGTAGTGATTTGCTGCAAACCAGCAAGTGAATTCTGGGTAATGTAGTAATTTGCTGCAAAACAGCTAGTGAATTCTGGGTAATGTAGTGATTTGCAGCAAACCAGCAAGTGAATTCTGGGTAATGTAGTAATTTGCTGCAAACCAGCAAGTGAATTCTGGGTTATGTAGAGATTTGCTGCAAACCAGCAAGTGAATTCTGGGTAATGTAGTGATTTATTGCAAACCAGCGAGTGAATTCTGGGTAATGTAATGATCTAATGCAAACCAGCGAGTGAATTCTGGGTTATGTAGAGATTTGCTGCAAACCAGCAAGTGAATTCTGGGTAATGTAGTAATTTGCTGCAAACCAGCTAGTGAATTCTGGGTTATGTAGTAATTTGCTGCATCCCAGCAAGTGAATTCTGGGTAATATAAGTGATTTTCTGCAAACCTGCAAGTGAGTTCTGGGTAATGTAGTGATTTGCGCAAACCAGATAGTGAATTCTTGGTAATGTAGTGATTTATTGCAAACCAGCGAGTGAATTCTGGGTAATGTAGTAATTTGCTGCAAACCAGCAAGTGAATTCTGGGTAATATAAGTGATTTTCTGCAAACCTGCAAATGAATTCTGGGTAATGTAGTGATTTGCTGCAAAACAGCAAGTGAATTCTGGGTAATGTAGTGATTTATTGCAAACCTGCAAGTGAATTCTGGGTAATGTAGTAATTTGCTGCAAACCAGCAAGTGAATTCTGGGTAATATAAGTGATTTTCTGCAAACCTGCAAATGAATTCTGGGTAATGTAGTGATTTGCTGCAAACCAGCTAGTGAATTCTTGGTAACGTAGTGACTTGCTGCAAAACAGCAAGTGAATTCTGGGTAATGTAGAGATTTATTGCAAACCAGCAAGTGAATTCTGGGTAATGTAGTGATTTATTGAAAACCAGCAAGTGAATTCCTGGTAATGTAGTGATTTGCTGCAAAACAGCAAGTGAATTCTGGGTAATGTAATGATTTGCTGCAAACCAGCAAGTGAATTCTGGGTAATGTAGTGATCAGCTGCAAACCGGCAAGTGAATTCTGGGTAATGTAGTGATCACAGTGTTCTCCCCAGAAAAATGTATCAGAGTGGCGGCTAATTTGCATATAATTTACATATCATTAGCATTTGTCTGAAGATAAAGAAAACAATAATGACAGGCTTGCATGGATGAAAATGTGTCTTTATTTTTTAACAAATTTATGTAGAAGATTAAATGAATCTGCTGCTGTGTGATTTCTATGTAATGTTGATTCTTCGGACTTTCATGGAAGCCCAGTGATCTGCAGCTTTTGAGAACGCCGTGATTTTCTTTGCTTCCCACTTCTATTAAATGACATGGCCTTCTTGTGCATCTCCGAGTGTGCGTGTTTATCGATAGCATATTTCGTAATATTTATACATGGCATAGAATTCCATACCAAAGAACTATTTCTGGATGTTTTTAAGTTGAATTTTCCACATATGTGACACAGCATTCCTAAAAGATAAGAAATAGGAGCGAATCAATACTTGTATTTAAAAAATATCGTCACGATCAACACGAAAATAAACAAATTGCCGCCATTTTGAAA